AATCAAACAACACATATTGCATACAATTGTCAAATATTTACAATCTTTAGAATTATAGCTTCGTAAATAGTCTTTGGGACCCAGTTTGATCGTTACAACGGAATCGTGGTTGTCATCAGTTACAGGAGTTTGAGCAAACACTGTAATTGTAATTGTCGGCAGCTTGACCCAATCGATATTATACTTGGATTTAGTCATTAGATGGTTGTTCTGTAGCTTTTTTTTAATTATTATTTTGCCGAGCTTGCTACTAATCATAGTATTCTTGATAGTGATCGCACCACTATTAAGGATATCATTGATCAGCACATCCACGACTGCTTGAGGAAAACGCATATACATAAAGCATGTATGTAGATATGAATACAAAGCACGTCCATTTTCCACAACTTGCTGAAATTCCTCGGGTAGATCCACTTGTTTGTCATTGATTAGTACACTCTTGATGTTGACAGTAAAATAATCGTTTGTCGGTGAATTTACCCATGCAATACTCCTTCCATCCGTTCCACATTTTTCAGCTACGTCCGTATTTCCTATATTGATGAAACTTTTTGAAGTCATTTCATACGGACATAGTTGAATGCCAATCTCGTTATTAGGAATAACACCATAATTGTACAAAATATCCATTGCAGTGGTTGGTGGATGATGCTTTGACAACGAGAAATAGGCAAACCCAAATACTCCTTGCTTGAGTTTTCCACCAATGCCAACTAGATCTGGCGATTGTTTTTGGATTGCTAGTACAGGTAAATCAATGTCAGTTATCCCAGTACCCGGAATCGTCACAGCTGCGTCGGAACTAATTCCTCTATACTCTTTGCCTTTGTAATTTATAGTAACGGGTTGCCCACTTGGAGTGTATTGCGGAGTCAAACCTACATCGTTGCTTGAACTAGAAAGTGGTACAACTATATCGGAAAATGATGAATCGACTTGTAAACCCAACTATTTTAAACAAGTGTGAGATTGATTCAACGTGGTACAAATTGATATCAAACTACAATAAATGACATGATACATACATCAACTCCATCAACATTGACTTTAATTGTGAAACATTGATCAGCATCATGACGCAATTCAACGGGTGATCGTTTTGATAGCCTGTTGTTTGACTGACTGTCAATTCCAATTGGTGATTCTAATACAAGTCGAACTGCAGCAACCGCCTGTAACGCAAGTATAACGCATTCTAGAGTAATCAGCATTGTATCGAGTAGTGTGATGAAAATATCTTGAATCTGGTAGATGACTGCCGTTTTATAATGATGGTCTGCAACTCAGCAATAATCGAATTGTATTGACCAACATTCCGAATGGAATCTGAACATGTGTGTATACACAATGTGACATGATCTGACAGTGTTTGAGTGGTTATTTAATGGTTATGTAATCAACTCAGTCGTGCATACAAGTTTGATATGGTCGTGTCAAGTCAAGACAATGGTCGCATTACAATCAAACTCAATCTGAACATTGAATATCACAATGTCCAAATTAAAGTTTCGAGTCAATTTAACTGTCTTTATCGAGAAAATGGTATCGAGTGTCTGCTATATATTACTACGCATACAATACTAGTAGTATATCAAGAGCATCTAATGGCACCGTTTTTCTTGGATGAGAATGTCGACTAAAATCAGCTGAAAGAAAAATAAATCATATTCAAAACTAAATAAATCTCAATAAATTTGTTATTTCTTTTTCTTTTTTTCCAACCTTTTAGTTATATGATGAGCACATTGTACCGATTTGCATGTCACTTTCCTCAAGTAAACTGTTTCCTTGTGCTATTGTAACAATATCACATTGTCTACGCTACTATTCTACACCTAAAAAAGTATTGAATCTATGGATCAAGCACAATAAAAGTACATCCGCCAAAATCCCCATCAAGAACTGTATCGGCATTGACGACTTGGCAGACAAGGTCAAGCAAAAACTCGACACCTATTGCCAAGTCGTTGTTTTTTAATTCACCGACAAGCAACACATCAAACCTAGGATGTCAATCAAAAGGCTGCTCAAAACACATCTCACCAACACTAGTAAATACTTTTGTTTGTTAAAATCATCCCGCTACTCAGGACTCAATTTCAACAAAAACTATATACATTGGACAAACTGATGATGACGGATACTTTACTGGTGAATACAATCAAAAAATACTCAGAAATGATCATGATTGATAAAGGTTATTAAGAATTCAAATGGTCCTGTTCACCATTCCTCACCAGACAATGTATTGCTTAGTTTCGATGGTATCAAGGATGGGAAAAGTATCAACTGTACAAGATGGCTCAAAACTTTTAATCATGGCAAAAAATAAGCGGACGCAATGGAGATACAGACACTACTATCCATGAGGACTTTTTTGATGGAGAAACTCGAAACCTCCTCCATCAATTTACCTACAAACAGACAAGTATATGCAAGCTTTTAGATTGACCGATTGATTGATTGTGTCAATACCGATTCCCAATATGTAATAGCACGACTAAGATGAATGGATAATCATGGATTTAACATTTCCACTCACGAATCCATCCAGTGTGAACATAGTGTTGCAATAAAGTCAAAATACCAGCATGGAATCCTCAATATCTATCATTTGAATCAATACCCAAATCTCAAACCACAACGCATTTACAAATGAATGATGGTCAAGGAACGTCGAAAACATTGTTTCTGAAAATGAGATACCAAACTTGCATAAACAAAAACAAGATTTCAGCTCAGTCAAATTACACATTGCTATATATGGCCTACAGTTCAAATCTCAAATGAAGTAAATGCTAAATAATGGTATTTATTGCAGCCAAAACCCAACACGTTTAAAAATATGCACTGAAAGTCATCGAGTATCCGTTTACATTGATGGAATCCAAAAAGCCTGTAAAATAGATAGCAGTCCAAGTCATGCAAAACAAATCAGATCTACTCACAAACTAAATAAAATCCCACTAAACCATTGAAACTTACTAGATTTGTGTCGGCACTTGCAAACATGAGATGTTTTGGATTAAATGCAACAACTTTTGGTGGCTCGTGATGCCATTCCAAGGCATGAATATGGTTTCCAGTTTCGACTTCCCAATAGTGTATTTTTCCATCTTGTGATCCTATCGAGTCAAATCACGGTGATATAAATTAATAAAAGGTTTCCACGTTGAATCAGATCTATGCAGCATCCTGACTATACAAATAGTACCTCCGATTACAAACTCCGCATCTGGTGTGAAGCATGCTTCAAATGCCATGCCCATCTGATTCATATGACCCGTAAGTCGGTGCTTAATTCCTCCATTGAATGCATCAACAATGTACATGACATTAGATGTGGTTGAGATGAGAATCAATTTTCCATCATTTGAAAATGACATGTGTGTCCATTCTGCAGCAAAATCTAAAGTAATTGGATCTTTTATGGGAAAAGTAGCAAATGGTCCCTACATAACAATACAGATGAGCAAAATAGACCAGTCCTATACATAACAGGCGGATTAGCATAACGCGAATCAAAAATACCTTGTTGTATTCTTTGATATCGTAAAGGAGAATTTTACAAGAACCAAGTCCAACCGCAAAGATGAATCCACCTTGATCAAATGCCAAGCACGGTTAACCTCCGTCAGTGTGCATGAGTCCCTGTAATAGTTGAGCAGGTGGAATGTCCATTGATTAGCTGATGACCATCAGTCTCGACAATGCAGCAAACGCTGCGTATTACACATCAAAGTGTTACCTGGCAGTTTGGAGATCGTAAATCCCAGAACCGGACCGTGTCATCGAGACTTGCAGAGAGAACACTATCATCTTGTGGCGACATGACAAGCGACACGACACTACAAAATGATGAGTTGGATGGATTTGTATGCTATGGATCTATGCCTAAAAGGCTTTACAACATCAATCCTACCGCTTTTTGTGTCCTTTGTAATAGCGAAGGTATTTATTATCATGCAGTGACATGTACCTCAGTGCGTCTAATAACTCCAATCATACAAGGTGAACAGTCAATACTTGGTCAGGATAGTTGATGTTGAAAGATCCAATAGTGATGCCATCTACGACTCACCGTCTTCTTTTGTAGAAGCATAAATAATATTGGTTGATCGATGAGTGAATCGAGCCAAGGCACATCCGTATTTTTTACTGTATATACAATTACGGCTCCTATTGAAATACTCGAAACATTAATCCGAGTAGCGAATGGATTGTCGACATGATAAAGTCATCCAAGAAACAGTATTTACTTTCCACTGCGCACATCATATATCCGAATTGATTCATCCTCGGAAGCAGTAACACAGCTGTATCCATCAGCATCAAAGTCAATAGATGTGATATGGCGAGAGTTGTCTTTGAAGACTCTGGCAACCTGGAATTGACCAAGAAGTTCTCGACTGAGAGGAATTGGACTGGTGGCAGAGAGATGAGAATGGCTGGAGGATTGCAGAGTGTCCGTGTCTTTATTCCTGTTATTGTCCATATCCTTGAGACTACGGACATGTTTTTGGCTAGACGATGATCCGTACATTTATTATTTGTGCTTGAAGAGTTTCCAAGTCCAACAATTTATGGATACTCGAATCTGTCGATTTGCTCGTCATTTTTATTTGAAGTTGACCATCATTTATTTCAAGTCTCAATCTACTCGACTCAACCCAATCATGTCAATATTCTGGCTGATATCCACTGCATTTCGCTATCATCAGGACTCCTGCCTTGACTTTTGCAATCAAATGGATGAATCATTCCATCCGATTTTGCATAGTAACAATACCCTTTATCTTTTGTCATGATTGGTAAAACTAGTTTTTCGTTTGGATCATTGCTTAATTGTGGATGTCCTGGAATGAATCCATTTACTCGCTCCGAGTAAAACCGGCGATCTTGGCTAGTGCAATATGTCCAATCCTGTGTGGCATAGACTAATCCATCTGCAAACGTGTATTGAGTCTGAACAATACGACAGTTATTCATCAAGTTCAATTGTGATGATGCATTTGAGATCAGTCAATGTTCTTACATTGGACGCAACACCGTATGTCCAGGTTGCACTCAGCTTTCCACCATTACAAAAATAAATGGTTCCTGATCCATGAAACCTACACAATGGGTTTGTAGTCGATATAATTCATAGCAAGTAGCAAACTGTTTTTTCAGCTTGAGAAATATGATGTTGCAGTTTAATCGAGTATACATACTGGCCATCTTTGAATTGTCCAGCGTAGACATTTCCATCTGGAAAAGTGTACATTCCATCTCCTTCGATCCTATTATATTTTAGTAAAATGCAATTCGTAATCGAGTTATTTCAGTCGCGACTAGACTGATGGAATCGATGGACAAACACTGGTGGATGCAAGACAATTGTCACGCTACCTGTCATTTACTATTTGTGCATCAAACGGAGATCCGTTGAATGTCATTTCAATGTTTTCTGATGAGAATTTGGTTTAAAACCACCAAATCAGCCAACTGCCAACCTAAAGCTAATATTCTCAATGTCAATCACGTGATGAGTGATTAAATTTCACTTTTACGAGTTTAACAATCCAACGCATCGAGTCTGCGTGACTGGATTATCATGATCAAGGCAGTACTTATATTCAATAATCAAGGCAAGCCCAGACTAATGAACTGGTATCAACAGATGGTGTGTGGTTTGATTATTCTTGAATGCCATTGATTCACACGGACCACTGCAACACCAATTGGCCTGTACATATCTTTGCATCCGCCTAGAATATCGATGAATGCACTTGGATGACCAACTTTAATTTGAAAAAATGATTATAGGATATTGGTCGACAGCAATGTCTTCTCAAAGAAGTTCATAGACTAGTACACAAGCGGTAAGATTTATTAGGATTTGAATCACAGATTGCATTGTAAAATGTCATGTCTTGGATCTTGTTGATTAGATTGACTGGTTTGCAAATATTATGTATTAGTCCAAACACTGTATGCAACTTTCTAAGCGGTGGTGCGTTGCTAGGCGAGGATGTTCGCATTATATACAGGGTAAGCTTATCGTTGCTAGATGGATCCCTATTTTTAAATATAAATAGCTTGTATTCATTCAGCACTTTGTATTTTTGATGTAGCATTATGCAAGTATGTGTATTTTTCCAACGAGATGACGGCTGGTGCTTTTATTTTCATTGCTGATAGTTGTGATATGAAACAATCTCTGTAGCACTTTATTTTGTATTTGTTGCAGATGCATCAGAGAGCGAACTAGGTAAACTCGTTTGTCAAGTGTTGTAAAACCGAGTTTCCTGGCAGGTTTTTATTAACAGATATGAATTATTTTTGTAGGAATTTTGGATTTGATTCAGGTACACTATCTATTACATTCAAGTATGTCTGGACATTATGCAAGCACATTCAAATGACAGTGCATCTATTCTTGATTGTGTAGGTGTTTGTTGAAGCTTTGGATAGAACGTTTGTCAATGTGTGCGAATTGGATCTGGTAAGCCATATTGGGTTGTATTGAAAACTTTGATGACTTTTCAATTTTGTGATACTAACTGATATGGCTGATTAGATTTTTAGACCAGAGGATGTATCCCAGATTCTTGGTGAAGTCATATCAGGTGGATTGGTAAATATCTGACTTGATAAAGTTTGTTTTCACGAGAATATTTAAACATTCTCCAGTATTTTAAACTTGTTGAAAATATGATTGTTAGGTGCTGGAAACCAATATTCAAGAAATCATGTCGACAACACATACACGCAAGTCGTCTGCAACGCATCGATAGTTTCAGTCAATATTAATATTGGAATTTTCAAATATTCTAGCGATAATACTAAATGGAATGATTGCTAAATGGGCCATGTGACAATATTATTTCGAGTTTGCGCTTGTAATGGTTTATCGAGACAATTGTGTGGGCAAGCTGTACAGATACATTGGAGCGTAACTATATATTTTACTCTTACTATAAAGTACTGCGTGCATACAGTAACATCTATTAAACTATTACCACGTGTTGAACCTTGTCAGCAAACTCGCATATTTGAATGGCATGAATAGTATATAATGAACACCGTGTAATATCGTTTGGTTTGAACAGGAACTCACTTTAAACAGTCATGTGTGGTGATTGACTTGAACTCCTTTCATACACATTTTAAACCTGTTGCTTGAAATGGCATTTTTGGGTTTAAAGCAGTTTTGATGTTGAGCAAGCGATTCATCAATCTTGGCTGAATTAAATCCTTGTTGGATGCTCGTCGAAAATGATTTGATTGGGATCACATACCCAAGATTGGTCGGAATGGCTTATTTAGACTAATTTTTAATATTAGCCTTTGCATTAATACAACTGGACATGTGCCATATATATGCTAGTGCAAAGATGAGACACGGAGTTATTCTCATATTGGTTCTAGTTGACAATCCTGAATTGATCCTTACACTCAGTACTGTTCATGAATGTAGACAGGCTAATGTATTGTCCAATGTGTAAACAATGCATATTTTGGTTAGGTTCAAGTCAGACCGCACCAACCTGATTGAATGCATGTCAGATTTGTTGATGCATTACTTGGAAACGATCTAAACTTGATCGCTTCATTATGTCAAGATGGCTCGAATAAAATTTGAGGCAAACATCAAAACGTTGATTCATGTATTGGCAACACAATGGTTTTGATGATAATGATGACTGTCATGCAAGTGAATAATTCTTGCACTAAACATCTGAGAATTCAGCATATAATGAAATTGGGCAAGTGTAGAGAATGTAGAGTTTATTGAGACAGATGCATATGCCGCTTTGGGCATTCAGCTTTTATTCCATGTTCCATTTGTGAATACAATAAACAGAGCATTCAATTCCTTTTCTATAAATTAAACATTATGGTGTTGGCGATTGGCATGGAAATAGTTACTAAACTCCTGAAATATGCAAGATTTGTAGGGAGAATGCATGAAGATCATAAACCACTGTATGATGAGCTAGTAAAAGAAATGCAAACATTGCAATAAAACTAATTGTTGGCCTCTGCAATGTTTTGTGTTGATTTCTCTGATTGCAGTAATGTATCCAGTGATCAGGTATTGTCAGATTATTACCTTGATTATGGATAGTTATCATCGCATCTACAATCCATTATTACAGCATACACTGTCACTGTATACCAAATACTTGACTGATTGTTCAGTTGGTCATATTTTGTGAACAGCATCCATTTGTGCACTGTTTAAATTGATCCCATTTGTGATTTGTTGGTCAATTTGTATATAAATCAGGTTGTTCAATGACTTGATATCACGCAGATTCAAATATAGTCTATTCACATATTGACAACTATTCAACAGTTGGTTGTTCTTGGTATAGATACAAATTGAACTACCAATAATGGTTATTTCAAAGTCGCCCAATATCCTGCCAATTGTGATTGTGATTGTATTCCACATCCAATTCTAGACTGTAATCACAACCACAATTATCGTGCTTGATCAAATGATATTTTGCATTGATCATGATATCATACATCACAATACTGCCAGATTACTGCACACAAGTCATGACCAATATAAATGCATTACTGATTGACATTGATCGACACCATAAACGCAGTCAGACAGCATAACAAATCACCAGCATGCCATTGACCGTGTTGCAGTACAATTGACCAACATTACTGACTGAACTCAGGTCACAACTGCAAGTATTCATGTAGTAATGGACTGACATTGCCGTTGATATCCAATTGATTGACTAGTCGATCATCATCAATTGCATCAGTGATTGGTATATGCAGCTGATATACAACGAGTTGTTCGAGTGATGGAATGAGTGCATCAATCCAAAATACGAGTCAACCATGACATATGATCATGATGTGTGGTTGATACAACTATATAGTAGCACACAACATGAAATGTCAACACAACAGTTGCAAGTTACTGATCATCAATGTGACATTGTGGTTGCAACATGAACTACATTGTATTGATTCAATTGATTGATTGAATTACTGGACAATGTGTAGTGATGATTGATCATGTCGAGTTGAATGCAAAGCATCGCTAAGCCATGACATGTTGAATTATGCCAACCACAACACATTGAAAAGCACGGAACATCACAGCACATATTGATGACCAGCTAATAATTGGATGTCAGCTCAGTTACACAGTCTTGGTTTGCATTCATTTCTTGTATTTTGGTACACCAACCCTTTTTAGGGTGGAAAAGGGTGTAAAACTGCATAATCAGTCAACCATACTCGAATGCATAGTCAAACAGCGGTTTAATCAATACTGCGGATTGCCATACAAAGGGACATTCGTTTCGTTACCTCAGCATTGATAACAAACTACCATTAACCCTGGCAATAACACTAATCTCTAAAACGGTCGCTCGACATGCTTTTAATGCCATTCATTCAATGACATAAATACAATCCAATATTACTTCAATAACAACCATTACAACTTGTTTGACCAAACCAATACAATGAAGCTCGCAGTCACAGTGTTGGCATCAATCCTGTTTGCTTGCTCGGTTACTACAGCCACTCCAGTCAATCCCAGTTTGACTACAAGTGCCGAATCCAGCACCTCAGCAGTTACTCCCAATGCACAAGCTACAAGCTTATTTGATCTTAGCCAACCTTCTTTGGAGGTTATGAATCTGCTCGAAGAATACGCACAAAGTAAGGAAGATTATAAGGAAGCAGAGAAAGTGTACGATTTGGTACACTCTACAAAATCTGATCGAAAACAATTGGTAAAACAGCTACGTGAAGAATATCAGGAACTGTTAGATAAATATCAGGAGGGCGATGGCTCAAAGTATAAAGATGAATCCGAGAAACTTGAAAAGGAAGAAGATATTCTCATCGACCTCCTACAAAGACGTGCGGGTGCCGCTTATTTTTCTCTTTACGAGAGACTAAGTAATATCAAATTACAACTCGTGAAGTACCTGTTCGGGAAAAATTGGATACATCGACCAGTTAACGACTACTTCAACCTTATAGAATCAGATCCAAAGTTTACGAAAATCATTGACTCATTTCACATTTCCATATCAAGCCAACAGTCAATATCTCAGCAAGCCTCTACTAGTGGGACTCGGAGTTCATCGCAACATCACGAAAGTCCATCATCATCAAATGAAATACCTACAGTTGAACTCACTGAAACATTCTCCAATATACAAGAAGCTGTTTTCACATTTTTTTCCCAACTCTTCTGATTGAGGAGTTTTTTCAGATCTTCTCATACACAGGACACGCTCAAACCTGAAAATGAGCTCATCCGATTGATTTGATTGCTAATCTGGACTGGTTTTGACCCGAGTCCGTTGTATTTTTGTTTGAATAAAATACGATTACCATTTGATATTGGATATTGCATTATATCTGATCATTGTACACAGTTTTGGTTGGTATCACATTATATTGTACATTGACACTTGTATTTCCAATATAATACAGTTGATTGTATATTGCATAGTTGCACACATTGATGATGTTGGTATGCATGTGTGTATTGTGTCGATATTATATTACTTGACATGTCGTATTGACACATGCAACACCAATACCAACAACAGTCATGTGTGTTGATATCAGATCCGATCAACTCAATCAATTTGACTCGTTTGACTCGTTGATTGTGGTATCAATAGCCTGACTGATCACACACATCAGTCGCAGTGTCAACTTTGTCGTGTGTCAAATATCATATGTTGAATATACAATGATCATATACTGGTCGATTGGTGCGATATGATCACACACCAATGGAATGTAATAATCATGATATTTGCAGCAGCATACCATATTGCAACTGTTGATATCGCACATCCAATATCGACATGATCATCCAGATATACAGTGATGGATTCAAACAATGCATACAATGATTATACACTTGGATCATGTATATTCAATCATACCTTGGTCCACCTAGTTTCCCCCTTTTCCCATTTCCGGTGTTTTTTTTTTTTTTTTTTTTTTTTTTTCTTCTTTT